GGTCTGTGCCGCTGCCGGTGGACTCCCAGTTCTTTCCATTTGGGAGCTTTTACAAACACTGTTGCCACAAGCATCACTATATGTGCTTTCTGGCGCACAAACACGAGAGCAACTTTAGAGCATCTGCTGGTCAAAGGGTCTTCCATGCTCACCTCCACGCTCACTCCTGTCAGAAGTGGTGATAATCTCACCGACCACATCAGATTCTGTGCAGTGGAGTTTCCAGCATTCTGGTGAGTGTGACAGTGAGTCACCATGGAGACCGCACATCACATTCACCAGCCTGCAGGCCCTCCTTGCATCCACTGCCCCAACGTTCCTATGCAAATACCTACCAGTGTGGTCCACACACGCATCAGTGTATTACACACCTCTATGCACTCACAGGAAATATGCCCACAAGTCAATTCTCTGATAGACTCCAATTTAACACATCTTATCTTCAACTATATAAAACTTATAACAAGAAGCATCTAAGCACTGGATTCAAATTCGTTTTGCCCACCAACAGGAAGCAGGCTCCTAGGAGCAATGCAGAGTCCTGGGCTGCAGGAAAGAAGGTGCACAACGAGCCCAAACACCTTGTGCAAGGAAGGAGCTCACAGGGAAAGTGCTCTAAGAGCGTCTCAGGGGAGGGAGTGTCAGAAGCATGCTAGAGCCAGCCTGGAGGGGAGCTCCAACTGGCCAAATTACAGGTAATTTAAGCATCAAAAACGGGGGGTGGGGGGGGCTGAACAGCAGATGACTAGCAGGGGGCACAAGGGGACATGAAAGAAGTGGACATCTTAAAAGGCATGTGGGTTACATAGACACTAGTCACACTTAAGATTTGTGCATTCCCTGCTTACGAACTATGCCTCAATATACATAATTCACCATGTTTACAGACCAAAAAAGAAAAACATTACGAGATCATTCAAATAGATACAGAAATAGCATTTGACAGAATTCAAATTCCATTCATGATAAATAATAGAATTAAAGGAATTTCCTTAACCTGATAAAGGACACCTACAGCTAACATCAGCCCTACTGGTGAAGACTAAACGCCTTCCCGCTAGACTGGGGAGAGGTTAAGAGCGCCTTGGTCTCACACTCCTGGTCACTGTCAGGGCAATGAGGCAAGAAAAATAAATGCATAGGGAGAGAAAAAATAAATCTTGCTTTCTTTGCAGACATGATTCTCTCTGTTGACTATACCATGGAATCTACCAAAAAAGCTCCCAAAACTAATAAATGAGTTTAGCGAGGTTGCAGAACACAGGTTCAAATAATCAACTGTATTCCTGGATACTCGCAATGAACAACAAACTTGTTAAAATTTAAGTACCAGTCACAATACCACAGTAAATTGGAATACTTGGGTATACATCTAACAAAACACATACAGATGTGGGATGCTGAAAACTACAAAACACTTAAGAAAGAAAACAAGGAAGCCCACGATAAATGGAGAGAGGCACCGTATTCCTGAACTGGAAGATGCAACACTGTCAAGATACTGCTTCTCCCCAAACTGGTCAACGGACTCAATGCATTCCAGTCAAGACCCTGGGAGGATGTAGTATAGATATTGAAAAAAGGGAAAGGAGCTAGAATCACCAAAACAACTTGAAAAAGAACTAAGTTGCCTGGCTGGTGTGGCTCAGCTGGCTGGGCGTCATCCTGTGATTCCTGGTCAGGGCACATACCCAGGTGTGCAGGCTTTATCCTTGGTAGGGGGGCATGCAGGAGGCAGCCTATCAATGTGCCGATCTTTTTTTTTTTTTTTTTTTTTTTTTTGGGTTAATCCTCACCTGAGGATATTTTTTCCGTTGATTTTTTTTTAGAGAGAGTAGAAGGGAAGGGGGGGGGGGACACAGAGAGACAGACACATCAATTGGTTGCCTCCCACAGGCACCTCAACCAGGGCTGGGGATCAAACCTACAACCCAGGTACCTGTCCTTGACTGGGAATCCCACCTCCGACCCTTCAGCACACAGGCTGACCCTCCAACCACTAAACCACACAGCCAGAGCCGCTTGCAGCGATAGTTCTTTTTCTCTCTCTCCCCTTCTCCCTTTCTCTCTCTAAAAAAAAAAAAAAAAAAAAATCAATAAAAAGTCTCAAGGAAAAGAACAAAGCTGAAGAACTCACATTATCTGATTTTGAGGCTTACCAAAAAGCTGCAGCAGTCAGCAGAGTGTGGCACTAGCTAAAAGATACAGCTGAATGGAGGGAGAGTCTAAAACAGGCCCACTGTCCAACTGCTTTCTGGCCCATATGCAAAGTCAATTCGACATACAGAGGACAGTCTTTTTAAGAAACACCGCTGGGTCTATTGGAGAGTACGATGCAAACACATGAACTTATGCCACATTATACAAAACTTCACTCAAAATGCACCACAGACCAAAATGTAAAACGTGAAACTACACAACTTCTAGAAAACACGGGAAAATTTTTGTGACCTTGGGCTGAACAAAGTTAGATATGATGTCAAAAGCACAATCCATACAAGAAAAATAACTGAAAAAGACATCAAAATTTAAAAATTTGCTCTGTGAAAACAGCATAAAAGAAAAAGATAAGCCACAGAATAAAAAAAAAATGCAAATGTGTATCTGACCAAAATCATATCCAGAATAAAAGCACTCAAGGGCAATGAGAAAACAAACAACTCAAAGAGATGGATGAAAGAAGAAACAGATACTTCCCTAAAGATACACAAAAGGCAAATGAACCCATGGAAACAGGTTCATGTCATTAGTCTTTAGAGCCACACAAATTAAACCACTAGTTAGCACCAGGTGGCCACAGAAGAAAGCTGACCATTAACAAGCAGTGGGGAGGATGAGGAACGTGCAGCCACTGTGGAAAAGACGGGCGGTCTCTTATGGAGTTGAACATACACTTGGTAAGCAACCCAGCAATCTGTCTCCTAGGTATTCACCAAGTGGAAGGACGGACTATGTTCACTCAAAAGTCTGCATGTGGATGTTCACTGCAACTTCATCCCTAACGTGACCACTCAGCAAACAGAAACAGTGCCGGTACACGCGACCATGTGGATCACTGTCCAGTGTGCTGTGCCAACCACACACATCCGGGATGAAAGGCAACAGACTGTGATTCCACTGCTGTAAGGTAGGGCTAGCTGACCACAAAGAGGCTCATGAGGGACACGCTGGGGGATGACAGAATTCCTCTGTTGCTTGACTGTGGTGGTGGTGGTTACACAGATTTCTGTGTTTCTCACAACTCATGGAACTACAGACCAAAAAGAGTAAATTCTACTGAGTTAAATTAGTGTAAATGTAAGTTAAATACTGTTTGTGGCATGTTACAACCCACTGATGAAAATAACCCATACATGAATACATAAACTGAAAAGAAAGTTTGTCATTACAGTACAATACCACTAACAAATGTAAAAGGAGTAATGGAGTTAGAAAATCCTTTCTGTAATCTGCAAGGTGACAACAGACTCTGGTGGGACTCATCAGTAGATGCTAGAATTTGTGGTCGAAAGTTTAATGATACTAGATATTTATACGGTCTCGAAGTACCTTCCCCAAATTATTTATCATTTACTCAAAGAAAAATAATAACCTTCCATTGGAAAAGCCTCATGGACCAGTGACAGGACAAGCGGACATCGTTGCCTCCTCATACAGCACCCTGAGCTAGACACACCATCGCTTCTGTGGTATCCCTCTCAAAACTGCACAGCCGGCACCAGACACAAGGAAACATCAGACAATCCCACATCAGAGGACATGCTACAAAATAACTGACCTGGACTCCTCAAACATGCGATGGTCCCAAAAGACTGAGAGGCCAGCCCAGATGAAAGAAGACCAAAGATCCCAGACTAAGGGAAAAACTACAGAGGACGTCATCCGACAGGAGACATCTGCCTGAGCTGTAGCCTAACTCACTGTGCGGCATCATGCAAAATGTCCTGATCTGAACACTGTGCTGTGGTCAGGTCAGAGGACACTCTTACCTAAGACGTGCTGAAGTATTTAGGGATAAAAGTGCATGACGGGATGTCTGGAACTTCCTCTCAAGCAGCTCAGGGGGAAATGTGTGTGTGAATATATGAGAGAGAGAATGAAAGTAATGCAAATGGGCAAAAAGTTAACAACTGGTGAATTTGGGTAAGGTATAAAAGGGGAGCTCTTTGCACTATTGCTGCAATTTTTACATACATTTGAAACTATCGAAATTAAAAATAAAATTAAAATAACTATGCATGGTGTACCAGATGGGTACTAGAATTATGGGCTGATCCTCTGTAAGTTTAGAGTCTCATCACTGTTATACACCTGAAACTAACGTAATATTATATGCCAACTGTAGTTGAAAAATAAAAAATTAATTAAAAAATTAAAAATAGAAAAATTAACATCACTACAAAGATGAAACTGCTTTCAGAACCCAGCATGATCTATTCTAAAACTACTACAATCAGACCTATACTTTTAGGTCCTTGGCATTATTAATGGAACACTGAGTGATTTAATTTCCAACCATCTTAAATAATCGGTCTGTATTCACTAACTCCCATTTAGAAGCCTGGGACGCTGATGATTTCAGAGGTTTCATATCAGTGTTTCTTCCAGCTAAGAAAATATCAACGGCTTCAATCTTTCTTTTCCTGATTCTGTATTGCACTGTTCTCAAAAACACAGAGAGAAGACACAGAAAGAACCCACATTAGACAGCGCACACGGAATCCTGGCAGACGCGGACAGGACCGTGAGGTTAGGTGACATGCACACTAAGCTACGACCGCAGCACAGCCAACACAAAATCAGTGCATCAGCTCTGCGCTACCATTCATTCATGCAACTTAACTTCATAGTTCTATATACAGGAAGACTTCTTTATGTTTTTAAAATAAGGAATGGGCTCTGGAAAAAAATGCTAACAGCAAATAGTAATTGAAGGTTAAAATACCTGGATGAAGGGAAAGTTTGGGATGAGGCTATGTTTGAGAACCATTGACAAGTACCTGAAATGGTTGCTGCTGGGATGAAAAAGCAGCAGAAACATTTGGCGGAAGCTGGGTTGCTATAGCAACAGGAGTACCAGTCTGCCCATCCTTTCCTGTCACAACCTTTACCTGAGAGGAAATATTTTGAGAAAAAAAGGCAACATGATTTTTAAGACTGCTCAAAATTTTGTTAGAATTTTACTGCTGACAGCTCACTGATGTTTGGTGTTTAAAAGTGGAATGTTTTTGCATCAAATTCTGCAAAAGGACAATGAACTAATTTATGACAGATGTATAACATAACCTAACTCAAATGCAAATCTTGCAGGAACTCCAACTGAAGTCGCAGGTGCAATGCCCTTAGATTGCACACTTCCAGCTCTAGAAGTGAGGAGGCAGGCAGTCTGAGCAGGTGCAATACCCTTAGATTGCACACTTCCAGCTCTAGAAGTGAGGAGGCAGGCAGTCTGAGCAGGTGCAATGCCCTTAGATTGCACACTTCCAGCTCTAGAAGTGAGGAGGCAGGCAGTCTGCACAGCAGCCACTCCACCGCCTACCATGTGGAGGTCAGAATGGAGAAAGTCTATTTCAACAGGAAGTTATAAAAAGGGACTTACTTTTCTTCATCAACACAGATAAGGGGACTGAGCCCACAGACAACACCAGTGTACAAACATAAAGAGAACTGAATTTCACTATTTCGGAGGTGAAATCCTCAAAATAATCATGTGACCTTTTGGAAAATAAAAATGGTCCGTCCTGGAAAGGGTGTTAAGGAAAACACAAAATGGCAAAGCCACACAGATACGTCCATAAATATCAATGGGGACGGCTGAGCAAAGAGACCAGTTTTTGTTCACCAAAGGCCGATTTCTTTGCAGAAGAGTGACAAAGATTTCAATTATTTTAGCCATCTCATAAAACAAAATCAGCTGCACCAACACAGTGTACACTACACAACACAAAGGCACACGTACAGTGCACGACAGCCACCTCACGCTCGCCTATTGTGATGAGCTTCTTTTTCAGGAACTACAGATGAATGGGTTGGAATCACAATGGTATTGAGAAATCTCAATTTAGGTATTTATTAAGCACCCATTCCAGGCACCCAAAATTTTCACTATTTAAAAAAGATTCCACCTTAAATATCACTCATAGGTATTTGCAAAAGTGTGAATTTAAAATATGATCTCAAAGCTAAGACTACATCTAAAAATTCTTTTTTCTATAATAACTGTATTTTAGTCATGAAAATACTGTATCAATATTTACACTTATTTATATTTAAACCTTGTTTAAAATCCACATTCAAGAAGTTTCAATGGGTGAACCTAGGAAGTAAAACGTGAAAAGTGGGAAACCAGCCCAAAGGTGTGCACCCGGGGCTTCAGTGTCGGCCAGTATGCACCCTCAGCAGACCAGGGGCCAGGCTGGGGCCGCAGGTTAGCTCTCCACCCAGGGCGGAGTCCCTGCTCTCAATGAAGGCACCTGGATCTGCACCTGGCCCCCAACTACTAGAGCAGCTCTTCCCCCTCTTTTACAAAGAAAACAGCAAAATCCACCTTCCAGGTTACTCCTGGGTCAAATCCTTATGAAACCATGTCTGAGGAACACCCTGGGCTCACAGGTTCTTCTGTGTTCACAGCTGCCTAGAGTCACACCTGCACAGCACAGTGTTCTAATTATTAAACTGCTGTTTCTCACCTCATCATTGATAACCTCAGACTTTTCTTCCTCCTCCTCCTCTTCCTCCTCTTCCTCCTCTTCCTCCAGGTCCAGATCATTCTGCCTAAGATAAGCTTGTAATGGGGCGTAGTGTTTTTTCTTGAAAGCCAGGAAATCCATCATGTTCCCTTGCAGGTGTTGCAGGAAGAACAGCTCGATCAGGTACTCCTTGAAGGCCTCCCTCAGTGCCTCCATCTCCCGGAGGTGAGAGTCCAGGCACTGCTTCCGCATCTGGGCCAGCTCCGGGGAGGCTGGAGGGATCTCCTCCAGCTTCTTGGGTGCCTTCCTGCTCCCCGCACATGAGAGAGGCAGGCTAGAGAGGCCCGGAGGCACTGCAGTTCTAGAAGGGCTGCTGGGGGGCGGCGGGGATGTCATCCCAAACGCCGATGCACCCCCAACCCCAGGTAGCAAAGGTCGAGTCAGTGGCGGCCCTTGCAGCACTTGCTGCTGCTGCTGCTGGACCAGCTGCCCCTGGATGATGCTGCTGATCTGGGGCGGCAGGCTGGCTGTGGTGATGTGGCCAGGGCTGGCCAGGGGTGGCAGGCCGCCTCCGCCCGAAGCTGCAGGGCTCTGGGGTCCCAGGTGGTGCACAGTCCCCCCGGGCTGCCCATGGGGCTGGGACAGTCTCCGTTCTCGCATCGCAATGGGAGCCCCTGCATGTTGCAATGGGACTGGGGCTCCCTGGGCCATCTGGGCAAGGCCTGAGCCCTCCTGGAACACAAAGTGCCCACCTGCGGATGGGCTCAAGCTGATCTGCCTCACCAGCACACTGGCGTCCACAAAACCCCCAGTGGGGCTGCTGCTGCAAAGGCCCAGGCCAGGCCCAGGGGCACCTGCCCGCACACTCTGCAGGCCCGGCCCTGGCCCAGGGCTGGGCTGGGTGGGGCTCTGGGTCTGTACCTGCTGGGACAGTGGTGAGGTGACTTGGATATAGGACGGCGATCCATGCTCAAAGCGCCTCGGCTGGGCACTAAACTGGAAGCCTGGGGAGGTAGGGCTGGGGAGTGGAAGCGGGGCCAGTGTGAGTGGGGGGTTTCCTGCCACCACTGGCCCCACATTCTGCAGGGCAAGGTTCACATTCGGCCCAGAGGCGGGGCTCCTGCTCATGAGCTGCTGAACCTGGTACCCAGGCGACTGGGGTGCGGATGGGCTGGCCGAGGGTGCAAAAGGCGCAGCGGGGGATGGGGGTGGATTTGGATGGGCCTGCTCTTCTTCACTTCCGGCGAAGGCCCGGGACCTCTGCAGCTGGTGCTGAACATTTGGAGGGCCGCTGCTGTGGTGCATTATCGCCCCCCTTTTTATCCAACTTAATGTTCTCCTGAAAAATCAAAGTTAAAATCAAGTTACTTAAAGGTAAACACAACCAACCGTCTGATCACCCCTTTCTACGAGACCGTCCAGCAGCACTGGAGATCAATGAATGTCTGTCCCACTGGCAGCTGGTTCAAAGGACAGTCTTATTAATTCACACTGAGTGGTGTACACGGCAACACTGCAGATGGTCTCCCTCCCTCAGCACATACAAGGGACCGGTCCTTCTGGGCTCTGCTGTGCCTAGGGCCAGGGCACAGCCTGGTAGAATATGGGGGATGCCAACCAGCTACCTAGGAAGGTAACAAGCATCACCTGCTCAAGGCCAAGCAGGATGTGACCTCAGTGCTGGCAATCATGACAAGTGTGCTTCTTCCCAGACACCTCTCCCAGCACATGTTTCCATGTGCCAGGGTCTGTGTCCTGTTTCTCCCCGTGCAAGGACGGGTTATATACACAATCCCTCAACACCAGAACCACAGCCAATCCCTCACTAGACAGCAGTTCTCATGAACTACTGAGCTCCCTCACAGCTATACTGCTAACCCAGCCCAAACACAGGAGTCCCCATGATGTTACACCCACGTTCCTGTGGGAGGGGCCCAGCCTGTCACAGGAGCCAGGCTAAAAGCTGAAGGTGCTCACACCACAGGGAGGGTACAGGGAGGGGACTGACAATGAGAAAATGTCACAGGGAGAAAGGGAACAGCCAGAGAGGCTGTGTCCTGTAACTCTCGGGGAGCTGGTGCAACAGTTTCCCAAGGGCTCACAGCCCCAAACTGCTCAGTGCAAATGACGAGAGAGAGGGGTGGAGAGTGGGAGGGACCACTGAGAAAGCTCAGCCTTCAGGACAGGAGACATCAGAGGATAAAATTGGAAGAAGCCAACTGTGACCTGAGAAAGGTCAATGTTCCCAAGTCAGACATGACTAGAGCCTGAGTGTCCAGTGAAAACAGGATAACCGCAGCCCATGGTCACCTGTCCCCACTGTGCTGGGTCACAGATCAAAAATGTCCTTTCTCCATTCAACGAACATACTAACTTCCTATTTACAGTGTTGCTTACCCACTTCCCCTTGACAAGCAGAAATGTCATTTTATGTTCAAGGCACCACTGCTTATCAGAGAAAATACACAAGGGGAACGTTACAAAACTTACAAAGGTGAAATACACATACACATGAATGAGCTCACAGTACCCAACCCTTGTGGAATACACACATATGTATGAATGTTCTCAGTCCTAGGCCACTGGTGAAATACACCCGTGTGTGTGTGTGTGTGTGTGTGTGATCTCACAATCCCAGGCCCCAGGTGAAATTCACATATACGTGAATGCTCTCCAGGTCCTTGGACCCTGGGTAATATACACATATATGTGAAGGATATCTCACAATCCTGGACCACTAGTGAAAAACACACATGTATGGATGATTGCACAGTCCCAAGCCCTGTAAAATATACACTTTTATGAAATTAAAAGTTACGGATGATGGCTGCACAAGTAAAGGCTGAGAAAACATAAAAATCAGTCCATATTGTAACCCTCAGAGAAGGCACTTTTGTTCTGATGGCTGTCTCTAAAGACGGTCTCAAGATCATGGGCAAACAGTAGCAAATATGTCTAAGTAGTAAGTCAGGACCACAGCAAGGAACAGAGTCATGAGCATCAGAAGTCCACTCCCACCATTGTCCTCCGACAGAAAGCTCAGTAACGAGGTGGCACCACATCTGAGAGAACTCGTAGGTACAACACTGCTTTCAATACGAGTTCTGGATCCTGACCTTTTATTTATTTAATTTTAAATTTAAATAGATTTTTAGAGAGAAAAGGAGAGAGAAATATCAATCACTTGCCCCCTGCATGCCCCCCACTGGGGATCGAGCCCACAATCCAGGAATGTGCCCTGAATGGGAATCGAACCAGCAACTTTTCATTGCACTGGATGACACCCAAGCAACTGAGCCACATCAGCCAGGACTGGATCCTGATCTTTTAGACAAGCATTATTAAAATTAAAAAATAAACAACAAAAAAAACCCACCTAAACTCAAAAGTCATCAAAATCAAAACCAAAATATGTTGGGAATACCTGAAGAGCTGTAACAAAGAACTATTACCAGGACTACAAAAAGCACACACAGAAATTGACAGAAAAATGAATTATGGACAAAAGACAAAAAACACCTACCTCACCAGCTTAGAGGAAAACGTCCAAGCTCACTACATATAATAGACACACAGACCGAAGTAACTGTCTCCCAGGTTGTGAGCTCTTGTGGCCAAAACAAGACCGCTCAACTGGCATCTGCTGACTCCGCCAGTGGGTCTGGGAGGCAGACCGGAGACAGAGCAGAGACGGCTAGGGCTCAGAGCCCACAACCTGCCCAACAGGGTGGACCACAGTGGTGGGAAACCCTGAGGGACTCATTTGACCCCTTCACCTTTGACCTAGTAATCCTTCCTCTGGAAATCTCTCCTAAGGACATTCACCTACCTATTTCTTAAACTGCATATTCACTACAGAATAATACAGTAAAAATAAAAGTAACCAGAAACACCTAAAGTTCACGTTGCAGATGAAGACTATGTGAGAAAGATGGGAGATGTTTCAGACATGATATTAAGTAAAAGTAGCAGGATACCAATTGCACAACATAGCCACTATTCCACTAAAAATGTAAATTAAAAACCATCTGCTGAAACACTGAAATATGAATCCTGACCTTCACCTGGCAAGGGGAGAAAGCACTGGGACAGCCACACACGGGAGCACGGTACTGACACACCCACACCAGGAGGCACGCAGGGCCCCAATGCAGAAGCAGACTCCAGCACTGGTTGCGGGTCACTGACACAACATGATATTCTGGAACAGGCAAAACACCAGGGACAGAGATTAGACAAAACCTGCGGGCAGAAGGTGGTGGGGAGCAGCTGACTTGAGAGAGGCAGGAAGGAATCTGGGGGTGTGGAACCATTTCTATATTTGATTTGTGATGCTGGTTACAAGACTGTCAGAAAATTGTGAATTCTGCTACATATAAATTACACTTGAACTTTTTTAAAAAGTGGTTCCTGCCCTGGCCGGTTTGGCTCAGCGGTTAGAGCGTTGGCCTGCGGTCTGGAGAGACCCGGGTTCGGTTCCCGCTAAGGGCACGTACCTCGGTTGCAGTTTGTCCCCGGCCCTGGTTGGGTTGTGCGGGTGGCAGCCACTCGATGTGTCCCTTTCGCATCGATGTTTCTCTCTCTCTCTTTCTCTCTCTCCCTCCCTCCCTCCCTCCTTCCTACTCTATCTGAACAAAATATCGAAAAATGTCCTCGGGTGAGGATAAAAAATAAATAAATAAAAATAAAAATAAAAAAGTGGTTCCTGACTTACGTGAGCTTATAGTCAAGTTAGAGAAACAAACCACTGCTTATCTAAATAAATAGCATTGCCCAAAAATGTAGCGGAGGTACCCTGCAGAGCAAAGCCACCACCAAAGGCAACACATACTCTTTCTATTCTTACTGGCTGAGATCACAGGTGCAGAGGATGCTCAGTCCAGAAGAAAGCAGAAGGGGCAGGGTCTGGGCTCCTAAGGTGTGGGCACTCGACTCTTCTCAATGACCATAGGCTCTGCAGAAACCAGCTACTTATCCCTGGCTGGGAAAGTACTGCTACCAAACCGGGACCCACTGCCACTGCACAGGGACTGCGAACCCGTAGGGAATACAAAGCCTGATCCAGGCATGGACCTCAAAGCTGAGCTGGGCAACTACAAAGTCCCTGACCAAGAAGGAAAGGGTAATTCCCACGCAAGACAAGCCTGAGCCATAAGAAAGCTGGGGGTGAGGGTATGGGGGACAGAGTGCACGAACAGGAGACAGAAGATGAACAGACCCTATGGATAGTCACATGAAGAGACATCCAGTCTCAAATATCTTAGTCTGTCCTTGGAGGGCCTCGAGCACTTCTACCTCCAACCTGACTCCCTCCCTTCATCTCTCCCTACCATCCTGCCTGAAATCTGAGGTCTACGTCAAACCTCACCTCCAGCACAAGTCTCTCTCTGTCAGCTCAAAGAGCCCATTTCCCTCCTCTAACTCACAGCAGAGTGCACTCCTCAGTCCCCTATTGTCAGTCAGGCCCGGATGCCTGGCTCCCTACGAAACGTACCTGCTCTAGCAGGAACCTGTGTTGATTTACTCCCCAACCAAAAATCACTGAGTGCACCCTCCTCAGCACTCTGTGAAGCACAGCCCTGCCCCCAAGAAGAGGGGGCAAATAGATGTTCTCGCTCATTGATGTTTCTATCTCTTTCTCCCTCTCCCTTCCTCTCTCTCTAAAATCAATAAAGGAAAAAAAATTTTAAAAACCAAACATCAGCCCTGGCCGGTTTGGCTCAGCGGTTAGAGCGTTGGCCTGCGGTCCTGAGAGACCTGGGTTCGGTTCCCGCTAAGGGCGCGTGCCTCGGTTGCAGTTTGTCCCCGGCCCTGGTCGGTTGTGCGGGTGGCAGCCACTCGATGTGTCCCTTTCACATCGATGTTTCTCTCTCTCTCTCCCTTCCTCTCTCTCCCTCCCACTCTACCTGAACAAAAAATGGAAAAGTGTCCTCGGGTGAGGATAAAAAAAACAAACAAACAAACAAAAAAAACCAAACATCACCCCAGCTGCTATGCTGCGTCAATTGCAGAATAGCTCAGGGGAGCAGAGAGCAGGCAGGTGGTCATGGGAATCACCCATGTGTGACATAACCGGGGGCTCAAAAGACAGCTCTGGCCGAGAAAGCAGTGACCTGAAGTGGGATTTGAGAGCCAGTGTGAAAGTGCTGACAGATGAGGTTTAGGATGTGGAAGACGTGCAGAGATCACCAAGGAGTTCTGATCCCAGCAACTGAGAGGATGGAGCTGCCTCGGACGGAGATGCCATGGTGTGTGTAAGTAGCAGGTTCCACAGATGGAGGATCCAGCCGAAAGATACACACTCACAACACATTAGCATGTGACCTACAGCCCTGACAGAGGATGACATCATCGTGCTGCTCGGACCTGAGGACCCCCCGAAGCACTGTGATGTTTACGAGTAACGGAGATGAAAGGCACCCGGCTGGGTAAAAGGAGAGCAGGCGGAGTGGTGTCTCAGTGCTCCGAGCGGCTGTGTTCAAGGGAGCCATGGGCAGCTGGGTCAAAGCTGCCAACAGGGGTACTTGGTAGTGCAGTGACACCCGTGACCCAAACAGCAGCTGATGCTGCTCCGAGAGAGACGGGAAGGAGAGGACCTGGTGACAAGGAGTGCCTGAGCCTTTCCGATTCCAGCGTGAAAGGAAGCTGTGACCCAGAAGGGTAGCTGGAGTGGTGCAGGCCCAGGAGGTACTTGGGAGAGAAAATAAACTGAAGGACTGGAGGAGGCAAGAAAGGGCGGGTCCGATGCAGGTGGTTAAGTAACGTCCACAGGTACTGACATCAGTTACTGTAGATGATTCCACGGCTCACAACCATGCTACCGACCACTTTTTACTTTTCAGCTTTCCTTTTCTTTCTTTCTTTCTTTTTTTTTTTTTATTAATCCTCACTGCAGGATACTTTCCCATTGATTTTTAGATAGAGTGGGTGGGAGGGAGGGAGGGAGGAAGAGAGAGACATCGATCTCACATGGATCGGCTGCCTCCCGCAACCCAGGTAGGTGCCCTTGACGGGGACGCGAACCCTCGACCCTCGGTCCTCGGGCCGAGCGCTAACTGCTGGGCACACCGGCCGGGGCCCAATGACAGCTTTCTTAAAGCACTTAAAGTCATGCAACTGGATTAAACAAAAAAAAGTTGCGCGGCAGGTGTGGCCCCGCGGGCGGAGCACCATCCCACGGCTGAGACGGCCCGGTCCGCCGGAGAAGGGGAGACCCCGCCACCCGCGCGCCCCTGGAAGCTCCGTCACTCGGCAGCGCCGCAGAGCCCGAACCCAGCTCCAACCCGGGGCGGCACGAGGGGCTCCCTCCGCACCTGCTCCCGCACGGAGGGGGCGCGAATGCCTCGCGCGCAGACCCACGCGTGGGGACTCCCGCCCACCCGGCGGAAGGCCTCGGGCACCGAGAACCAAGGCAAAACTCCGCGCCAGGCCCGCCGCCGGCTCCCGGCACGCGGCGTCCTCGGCCCGGCCCGCGTCAGGCGTGCGGAGCCGCCCCCGCCCCGCGCTCCGGTCCCGGCGCCGCGTCTCCGCGCCAGGCCCACCCGTCACCGCGACGCGCGCCCCGAGGGGCCCCAGGGAGACCTGGGCGGGAGAGAAAGGGGGCGTAGGCCGCACGACCCCACCCCCGAGCCGCCATCCGAGCCCCGGCCGCGCACAGGCCCCGCCCACAGACGCCGCGGCGCGGCCTGCTCTCGGCGCGACGCCAGGGGGAGGCGGCCGCGGCGGGCCCCTCAGCACAAGCCCCCGGAACCCCTGCCCGTGCCCCGCGCCGCCACCTACCCGGGGCCTGGGCCGCGCTCCGGCCGCGTCGGGCTGGGGTCGGGAGCCGGGAGCCGGCGGCTGAGGTGGAGGCGGCGCCGCTCCGCTCGGCTCGGCGCACCCGGGGCCGCGGGCGGAAAAAGCGGCGGCGCGCCTGCTACGGCGAGCCGGAAGGGACGCGCGCCCGCACTGCGGCTGCGCGGTGGCGGCCGGCGTGACGTCAGCGAGCAGGAAGCGTCGAGACGGCCGGGCGAGCTAGAGAGGTCAGGCGAGAACGTGGGCCGACGGGCCGGCGGCGGAGCGGGGCGCCCGGCGGGAGGGGCGGACCCAGCAGCCTGGTTAGGGTCGCGCGGAGGCAACCAGTCCATGCGTCTCTCACGTGGGTTCTCTCTCTCAGTCTCATCGATTTTTCACTTTCCCGTCCTCCTTCCCTCTCTCCCGCTCTATCTAAAAAAAAAATCAATGGGAAAATATCCTCTCGTGAGGATTAACAACAAAAAAAGTACATTTGAAGGGATATGCTACCAAAGAAGCTAATTGATGTTTGTTTATAAACAAGAAAACTTGGCTCTAAAAGGGAGACGAGAGAGGCGTTTGGAAGGCGATAAAATTAGTTGGATGTCAGGTTTGTGATTGCTGATGATGCAGTAGAGATGTTAAAGGTAAGAACACAAGGGACAGTTCATGGGGAATCGGGTAGTGATGAGGGGCTAAGGGCATTGTGTCAGACAGGTGGGCAGCTTCCACTGCAACATGGGAAGGGAGGAAGGAGGGGAGTAACAGGCTTGGGGCAGGATTCAGGAAGGTGAGGGGTTCCATCCCATGGCTTCTGTTGGCTGGTAACGGGGAGCACCGCCTATCTGCTGAGAAAGAGGCAGGGGAGATGGATGATTTGAAGTGGTGGGAAAGCACAAGCTGGGGAAGTCCTTGAAGGTATCGGCCCAACCCTGTTATGTGCACATACCACACCAAATGCATCACATGTACCCATGCATGCACACACCACCTCCCCGCCTGAAATCCTCTTGTAGCTTCTTCAGACTTGCAGGTGACCCACCCACCTCTTTGTTAATACGTCACTTTGTTCTGGTTGGCACTGGGTGCCACTTCATGAAAAGCATTTTCCAGCCTCCCTTGCAGCTAGACCTGACTGTGTGACAAGCCTCTGGCCAATGAGAGAAGGAAGTTGCTGGTGGATCTCCTGGGAGAGCTCTCTAAGGGACATCTTCAATGATGTGCCCTTTCTTCTGCCTCACACCTCCTTCCTGGACCACAGAGCTGGGAGGATGTGACCAGGACGAAAGCCAGGTGCTGAAAAGGGCCAGCTGGACAGAGAAAAGGCCCTCCTCCAGCCTAGGAGACTGCTGTGCTGGGCCCAACTGCCACCTGTTCTTGTCTGTGCCACCTGTCAGGCTTCCACTACATGCAGCCAAGCCCCATCCTGATGGCATGAGGCCAAGTCCTGGAAGATGCCCCTGGCTGCACTGCCTGCCCGGCTTCAACCCCGTGGCCACTAGGGGCAGGTCCTGTCTGCACACTAGGCCACCTGTCTCAACACAGCTCACAGTGCTTTCAGCCCTCAGTGAAAGAAACAGAAGAAAAAAAAAAAAAAAAACAAGAAAAGGAAAAGGAGCGACTAAGCAAAGTTTTATTTACTTAATAAGAAAATCATTTCTTTAAAAAAATAGTGTCTTCACACGCTGAGGTGTACAGAGTTCACGCTGAGCTGGAACAGATTTGCAGCAGGTTCTCGTGAGGAAAACTGAGAACGGGGCGGGTCTCAAGGTCCTGAGGTTACGAGGCCACATCTCGGCTCCCACCTCGGCGAGGGATGCGGCCGACAGCAGCAGGGCAGCTCCTGGCGCATGTGTCTCATGGGCAGCCCACCTTAGTCGCTGTCCCCGTCCCCTTCACTGCCTTCCTGGGGGCTGGGGTCCTGCAGAGCCAGAGCAGAGAAACAGCTATGGGGGAGCAGGCTGCCCGGATGTGGGCACTTCCTCCCGGCGAAGGGGGCTGTCTGCAGTGTGCCCGAGCCACCTTTCAACCTGCCTACAGGAATGATGCCAGCATTTGTTCTCAGCCTGGCTGGGCTGGGGACGAGAGGGGTGTTTACAGGTCTCCTCCAAATCCCCAGGGGATGCAGTGACTCAGGACATAAAGCTGGGCTCTCCCAAACTGGCCAGTGCAGGCCTCTCAGCAGGGTGTGAAATGGCAAGTGGTCAGCAGCCTCTGTGAGCAGGGCTTGAGCGAAGGGAGCGGGCTGGCCCCAGGTCAAAGCTGCACATGGTCTCCATCTGGCCTCACAGCGCTTGGGAAAGTGAATAACCATCAACATCTAAAATGGGGGGGTTTGCCTGGCCAGTGTGGCTAAATGGTTAAGTGTCAACCCGTGCAACAGGAGGTCGCTGGTTCGATTCCAGATTCCTGGTCAGGGCACATGCCCAGGTTGTGGGCTTGATCCCCGGTGAGGGGCATGCAGGAGGCGGCCAACTGATGTTCTCTCTCATCAATGTTTATTTTTGTTACAGATGTTTCTCCTTTTCTCATCAATGTTTCTATCTTCCTTCCTCTCTCTAAAATCAATAAAGAAAAACAATTAAAAAAAAAAAAGATAGGGAGTTCACACACAATTCTGAAAGGTCAGTTTCTCTTGGCAAAACATAAGCTTTGCTAACCCAGGCTACCTCCGTTGTGGCCATCACTGGCTGGTGCTGAGCTGCAGTTGCCCATCTGTGAACAAAGAGCTCCTGGTCTGCCATTCTCCAGGGATCCCTATCACCTCCCTGCCCTGGCTGCCATCCACTGCCCGCTCCACCTGTGTACCTACCTACATGCACAAGAGCCTAGAACTCCAGGCGTGGAGAATGACAATGTTCCTCCAGATACCTAGATCATGGGATGATGTCCCCCGAGTGCCGGGTGGGGATGTCCCTCTGAGCACCCACTGCACCAGCAGGAGAGCTTGGGCTAATAACTGGCCAGCACTGCCAGCCCAAGAAGGAGGTCCTACAGCCACCTCCATGTCACAAATGGAAAGATGCCGCGAGCCGTGTCCCTTGCTCGGGGTCACTAAGTGTGGAATGAGCTTCAGGGCAGCCAGCCACTCGGTCTGCTACTGTGTGATCTTGGGGGTGTGATGCACCCCTCTGCACCTCAGCTTGCGCGTGTATACAATGGGCACGACAACACCAGCACGCAGTGTGTTAGAAGCTTAGGCACAGATGACGGACAGGGACAAGCATTAGAAAAGCTCCTGGAAGGGCGCACACCAGCCCCGTGCCCCCCCGCCCCAGTCTCCCGGCCCCGACCCCCAGCTCCACCTTGGCACCAGGGCTGGCTGCTGCATGGGCAGTAGCACTGAAGTCATGTGCGGGTAGCGTGCTCAGCCACTGGGCCATGGACCGCTCGTGGCGCTCGGTGCTGATGATCGTGGGGTAGATGTGCTGCTCCTTGAAGGCCGCGGCCTCCGCCTCCTCCTGCGTCCAGTCCAGCGGCTCGTGCAGCCCATCGCAGCCGAAGCGCCGGTTGTACGTCTCGAAGTGCACGCGCTCCAGGACGAGGCCGAGCCCTGGCGCCTTGGGCACGTCCACCTTGGCCTCACCCCAGCTTCGCTCCAGCAGGTCCCCGGGCGCGTAGCCCTTGACGATGGCCACCACCAGGCCCACCATCTTCCGGATTTGGTGTGTCATGAAGCTCTGCCCCTTCACCTTGATGACCGCGAACTCCATGCCATCCCGCTCGAAGGGCTCTTCACAGAACATGTCCAGGATGTAGCGCTGGGCGCTGGGCTCCCGGGGCCCCTTCTGTGAGGTGAAGTTATGGAAGTTGTGGGTGCCCTTGTAGCAGGCCAGCAGCTGGTTCACCCGCTGCAGTGTGTCGGCGCTCAGCCGGTACGACTCGTCCTGAACATCGTGGTCCTTGTGCGCAAAGGCAAATGTGGGCAGCATGTAGACATAGGTCCTGGCGTCACACCTGTTCTTGGAGTTGAAGCCGCCTGTGACGCGCTTCAGCCCTGGGGGACAATGACAAAGACTTCAGGTGCACCAGGGCCCACATAGCATCTCAGCCCACATAGGGACAAATCCTCACACTGAACCCCATATCCCACACCCCTAGGAAAACAACCCGACGTCTGTCAGACTTGGGGCTGGCGAAGGGCTGGGGTCCTGGGCTCGCCCTGCGCATCCTGCGCAGACCCCAACGTGAGCAACAAAGAACAGATGAAACAAAGAAATAGATGGCAAGGTCTACAGCAGCCATCCCAATACCACACTAAATGTAAATGGCATATACATACCACTTAAAAGGGAGAGAGCTTGGATTTTTTTTTTTTAATAAAGTGAAAACATTGTATTTATCAGGCCTGTTGTAAACGTGTATAACTGCCCATGTTTTAATTTGACCAAATCTGGACTTTCCCGGCCAGTGTTTGTTTACAACGAGACACGTGTGGTGTGCTGCAATCAAGGGATGTTTCAAGCCTGCCCTTTTTGAGGGAGGCGGGGACACTGACTCACAGCTACCTCACCACCTGCTAAGTTGTTGTCTTAACTTTGCACCAGAGAAATTTGGTGAAAGAAGAAATTCTGCGTGTTTGTACAACCCATGTTGCAAAGCTTACCTAGTATCCGAATGTGAGACGGAAGGTGACTGTTGATCTTTTCTAAAATGTCGTCAATCAGCCACACCTTCAGGGACACGACCTGCCCAGCAGCAGACACACCCTGCAAAGGAAGCACAGGGTGGGAGAGGCCAGCTGGGGCGCTGCTCTTCGGGCACCACATGAGGTCCCATGCAAAGGTTACATCTTTTCACGGAGCAGTTCTGCTTTTAGAAATGCACCTGAAGGGAATGATCAGATACAAGAACAATGCTCGATATACCAAGGGGGTGAGTGCAGCATAACTTACAAAACATCACAGTGACTTCGAAGCCCAGCAAAACACACACTAGGAACAAACATACGACATTGTGCAGGTGGGAAATAAAGACCCACCTCAGATGGACTCTCAGCTATTTGGGAAACTAGAAATGCAACTCAGATGACAAACGGTGAGGCAGAGCCG